AACAAATCTATTTCGATTGAAAAAGACATTCCATATAATATCTAGCTAATACAGGAGAAGAACGGTTTGCAGCTATATACCATTTAATCGCTTCATGAAAATCTCTCTCGATCCCAATTCCATGCCGAAAGAAGTTCGCAACGCACACCTGCGAATTAATAAATCCACCTTTGGCGGCACGATAATGCCAACAAAAAGCATTCGTCAAATTCCCACAAAAATCCAATTCTGAAGAATGACAAAGACGTCCGAGTTTATTTTGTGCGGCATGATATCCAGCATCTGCAGCTTTCTTCAACCAATAAATCATCATCTTTTTATCCCGATCGTTGGGTTTTGATGATGCTAGATTCGTTTTAAATAAGCGCATACCGAGTAAATATTGCGCTTGAACGTTACCATTCTTGGATGCTTTCGACAACCAGTAATCCACAAGTAGCGGTTTCATGTTTCGTTCATAATAGAATTTTCCGATTCGAAATTGTGCAAATGCGTCATTATGTTTTGCACCATGTTTGTAAAAGGCGAGAATTTTTGTCAAATCTCGTTTGCCTCGTATAACTTTACTCTTGTATGAGATTTCGTCAAGATATGCAGATAAAGTGTAGTATTGTGGGGACAACCTCTTTTTCGCGGAAAGTGGTTTTACGACGTCTATGACGTCTTTGTTATGCAATTTCAGCCAATCAACAAGTTTTTTTTCGAGTTTGTCTTCATCTAATGATGAATTTTTTATTTCTTGGAAATAAAGAAGTAAATTTGAGAAAAAAGTTTCTTCGTTCTCTTCTGTCTCCATTTTACTACATCTGAAATAGATGTGATCTCTCGTATTTATTTAATTCATTTCGCTTACAGAGTTAATATGTCATAATAATATATCATAGTAATTCAATTTTCTCATGATTCATTTCTATCAATGCATAATTTCAGATTACTAATAGTTATCTCTTTGGCTTTAATATGACGAAATTATACTGTATACTTAAGTATAATAAAATTATGAATTTTACAAATTTCGATTAATCCCAAAATTATGTTTATGATGCAACTGTGTTCATGAAATAGTTATTTTAGTTTTGTTTTTAGAACCCTATTTTGTGTTTTGATACTTTTACTCTAATTAATGAATGCAGTTCAATTTGCAATGTTCTCGCGTAAATAAATTTAAAAGATTTTTATTTTTAAAAATTTAAACGCCATTAGTCTCAAAGTCTTTTGATTGAACCCCGCCGATATTTGATTTTGTTGGCTATTTTTAAATATTCTCTTTTAATACAACTTTTTTATTTCATTTTATAAGAAATGCGCTAGATTAAGATTCTATAAGTGGCTTGTGCAGACAAATAGTGCGGGCCTGTATAACTCGGCCCCATTTTAAAGTTGCTTAAATTTTTTAAAATTATTCTAGATAAAGTGTTCTGACTCTATAAAAAAAGTAATCCCGGTACATATTTTTCGCTATGACAGACCATTTTATATAATGATATTTATAAAAGGTTTCGAAAAATAGTTCGCTATAGACCGAGTCCGTTATAACGATTGTCCGTTATACCGACTTTCAATGTATGATGCCTTTTTATGCAATCCACTTCTGCTTGACTCTTATTCAAACTGGATCCAAATAACTATCGTTTTGTGGTCATGTATGTTCAACAAGTTTCCACTTTATCCTCTCGTTAGTGATACGTAAAATGACACTAACGAGATGCGTATAATGATAACATACTTATAATTTAATCACATTACCGTGACGTTTTTTGCGTGTCACTATGACAGGAACATTTACATGTAATTATATTCTTGATTGTATATCAATCTACATGTAGCACATATAAATATATATATATAGCGTTAAAGAGTCTTTTGAACTTTTGTGTCATTCGTATTTACACATGTTACAACATAGAACACACTTCAAACGAGTTAATAAAAGAGTGCAAGCACCAAGTCCAGCGGATGAATTAAAATTGGAGCTGCAGTAGGCTTTCTTTTAATGCCTGGAATGCTTCTTGATTAATTGTCCAAATAAAAGAATATCGTTTTTCAAAAGTTTGAATAAAGGAGCTGCTATCTGAGAACAATATCACTTCAAAAACGAGATTATAATAGTAATCTATTCTACCACATTCATAAGGATAAACAATAAATTGAACTTTAAAAGAATAGCATATGACCTTCCATTGAAATTAAAATTCGCGAAAGCAAATTGTTTTCATTCGTGAATAATTTAAAGAGTACAAATATTACACAATGATAAAGAACACAAGCCTTAAACAATAGGAGTTGCATGAAACATTTATATAAAAAATAATGCCGATTTTGACTATTCGGGTATGCACGTATTAAAAACAAAGTTTGCAAAATAACAAAAATAACATGTATAACGTGTTTCCTTTTTAACTCGTTGCCGAAATTTATCCGTCAAGGGATTGTGAACCTGCATTTATATTTATGAAGCAAAGAAAGATCGAACGAGCCACAATGAGCCAATTCATAACCGAATTATTTCGTTTAACAATTTTGAAATCGTGGATACAAATAAATACTCATTAAAATTTTTAATCAATTAGACAGAAAACGAAACATCAACCTTTTTTTAAAGAAAATTCTGATACATTTAAAAAACGCTTTGTTATTTTTCCGAAAATCAATTCTTGGCGTAACGGTAATTAATGCACCGAAAAATGGCAATATCGGTTCTCCATTCTTCCGAACATTGGTAATACACTATGAGGTGATTGGGTAATCGACATTTTGCAGTTAATTTAATCATGCGTCTGCATGAGTGGTAACGATATAAAAAGATATAGAAGAAACTCAAGAAAACAATTATCTCAAAGATTTATTTAAATTAAAAAGATGACATCGTTTAAGTCACTGCCCCGAAAAATATCCAAAATATATACAGTAAATAAAAAATCCCGTCCTGCTTTCCCGAGCATGACGAATGGGATCATTTTACCACCCAATAAATGGGAATTACATGATCCTTTTTTAATTTGTGCTGAAGACTGGTTTCATCATCCAGGTGGTTTCGATTTTCACCCGCATCGCGGGTTTGAGGTAACCAATTTGTGAAGCTTTTAGAATATGGTGTATAGCTGCAAACCGTTCTTCTCCTGTATTAGCTAGATATTATATGGAATGTCTTTTTCAATCGAAATAGATTTGTT